GTGTATCAATCCGTGAATCCGTAAACAGTTCACTCTAACGACGTAGATTTGCCACAGAATGTAGAAGCGTGTGAGAGGCGTTACCTCCATATCTTTCAGAAGTGTATGTCTAAGCCAACTGACCCAACCAAATAAACACTGGATTTAGTCGAGAGCAGCAGGTTTTAAGACCGGTACTTATTGGTTTAGCGGTCACTTGAGCGGTACACTTACAAAATGGCAATTTAGTTACTGGCTAGTACCCCAAAGTATTAGGAACCGAACATTAAAATACCATTGAATACGGGCGGCGGTGTAGTATTTACAGACCAACAAAACGACATACCGGTGGGTACCCGGCGAATGGAAATGATCTCTTGAAACCATGATATTTTCGAGGTTCGATGACAAAATCCTTATCTCGGTGGCGCAGCATTCGATAAGGATCTCTGTGTGGGGTTTGGAGGGGAAATGAACGTGGTCATTCCCACTAAAATGCATACTTGCTCGTCGAGTGATTCAGATGGTTGTAGGAAAGTAACCACAAGCAGCCGGACTGAATTTGTGCACGTGGTCGCGTAAGTGCTCCTTATGATGACCGTAATCGAGCCTCCATTTGGCCTGGTTGGCCCCCGCAAGGCGCGGAGTGGAACACTAATGTAACTTCGCCCCCCAGAGCTGTTTAAGCTGATAGGAAACAGAACGGACTTTATCGTCTCCAGCATTATCTTAAGCAGTGCTGTTATTCGAAGTGATGCAACTACCCAGATAGGTAAATCTGCCCACTTTCCCTAGTGGTTGTGATACTAAGACCATCGTTTTTGTGCTCTCCCGGTCTTATAGTATTTTGAAAGTGCAAGGTGCACACCAAAACACACGGCACGATTATTTAGATTATTTTGTGTCTTTTATCTGGATACAGTCTGAACTGGGTAGAGCATACTCCGAGTCTCTAGGGCTTCCCTGTGAATAATCTCCAAGGCAGAGGTAGAAGTCTTAGAGGGCGTTTCTTCGGTAATTAATTCGATTATGAAGTTTAACAAGAAAGGCGAAGAACGGTTACCCTGACGGATACTAATCTCAGTGGTGAACTCGGGAAAATACTCTCCGAAGACTTTCATGTCCCGACGGGTGTCAGAATATAGGAATCAGGGAAAGACGACCAAAATACTTACCACTCCCTTTAAGGCATTCGCCGCCACAAAGCAGCGCGATTGACTGATTCGAACGCTGCTTCTAAATCTAAGTGCACAACAATTATTCCTATTCTATGCGTGTGGCGGCGTTCAAAATATAGTCCCAAAATTATGTGGTTAGTGCACCCACAACCCGAATGGAGTTCTGCCTAACTCACAACTCGACCTCTCACGAGTGTTAGTTAGCCTGTAGATGATGATACGTGCGAGCAACTTAGAATCGATGGCGGTTAAACGGATACCCTGGTAACTCCTATCCAGATATAATAACTTCTTGAAAACAGTGACAACGTCGGATATCCTCCATGCATCTGACTTTTCCTTCGTTGTCTAGATGCTGTACATGAATCGTGCCACTGTGAATAGATTTCTCCATCACCATACAGTACAGGAAGAAGACAGTCAAGATGATGAAGTCAAGAACGGAATCAAACATTCAAAACGTTGAATTGTCGACTTCATCATCTGTTGCTGCCGAGTAATTCAGATGTTGTTTTGAAGTCTGCGATGCGTTAGGCGTTATTCTGAATTGCTGTTCGAAGTGCTTTGCTCACTGAAACGGGTTTCAAGACTTGGATTGCATGCTTGTGCCTTGTTTTCCTGCACTGACTTCACTGACTGGCGGCTATCTTCGATTTTGCGAACTAGTTAGAAGCGTGTTTGGATTTTTCCAATCACCGCCTCATTGTCCATTCCTTGGACTTTACTTGATCGCCCATTTTTGAAACTGTGGGTCAGGTGTCATTCCTGATTTCTTGCTGAGTCGTAGTCTTCCCTTTGGAATCGCCTGTCTCGCCTCGATCAAATGTGTGGATTGCTGTGAGCTCCAACTTGAGTTGTGCCGTGATCTTGTTTTCGGGCCTACACAGTCAAACGCTGAATTCATATTATTTGGGGTTACGAACCAGTCTTCAGTGGGATGACCGGTTCGTTCCCCGTTCGTCCAAACACCTGCTGCGGCTAGGGTTCTTATATGACGGAATTTTGCAGACGGTGAATATCTAATGCTAACTGGTTTTGGCCGCTAAGAAAGCAGTCGTAACGTGGACTCAAACGGAGCATAATCTAGCTCCGTAAACGATTTCTAAAAGGATTCACAGTTTCGAACACAGAATCACCGTCTATGGCTAATTGCTGTGTGGTAATTTGGAATTATCATCAGTATCACCATCATCAACTGTGAAAAATTGCGTCCAGGTTATGCAGTAGTTATGGCTTCCAAAAATTCGTCCGCTGTTTATTTTGGGGATGAATAGCTACACAGATACAACTGGTGCTTGAGTACAGGAGTCTCAGTAGATTTTTCGTTGGGGAGATCGGGAGAGGAAGCTATGCACGGTCGTCCGTACATATGGCGTTTCTCTAATATCTGACGGGGTGCGAAGATTTGGTCGACGCAGTCTCTACCCGGTCGCAATCCCTCTTGATGTTCATCGGTCAAGGATTCCCGTGCCACCGAAGAGTCGGTGAAGGCAGAAGCCTTGTTACAACAGGAGTCAAACTAACACCGCTTTGGTTACTACATTCACTGCGAGTAGCGTTTTCGAAAATGGGCATTATTATCGACTCAACCCAGTTATCCGGAACGGACTTCTTATCCCAGATAGACCCAAGTAGGCCAGAGAGGCATTGGGCTGAGGAATCGCCGCTACCGTTGAACAGAGCTGGTGGAAGGTCGTTAGTACCAGCAGAACGGTGACGCTTGAGTGAACTCGGACATTTCTGAGGCTGAGAGGTTCCATCTCCACAGCCTTTTCCGATTGAAGGCCGACCGACCCTACTGGAGGCAACAAGTGGCCATATAAATTGTTTGAAGTATCGTGCCCAGCGGTCCAAATGTTTTTGTTTTTTGGATATCAGAGATCCATTGTGGTCCCTGATAATACCGGTTGGTTACGCCACGAGACGGTCGATGTGGCACGAGAGTATTGTTAGTTTTGTCATGGTTGTACTTGGGCCGGAATACTGCAAGAACGCCAAGACTTAGAGAGAAGGACGGTTATGGTCTTCAACCAAGGCTTACCCCATGCAGCGGTTTTGGTGGGAAATATATTTCACCACACATGTTCTAACCCCCCAACCTGAAGGGCCAGGAGACTGTTGGTCAGACCTCTTACCGTTGACCAACCTAGTGTCAGGAACTCTGTGGGTGTCGCATGGATACAACCCATTATAGCTCAATGAGTAGCGGTGGCATGCAAACTGTCACACTACGCTCAGTTCCAGTCCCTTTGTGACGGAGTTACTTACATTGGCAGACGACTCAGTCACGCAGTCAGTGGTGTCCGTACATCAAGGCTATCGCTTCAATGCATAGCTGTCCGTTTTCCACCCCTCACAGCGACTTAATGCTAACTAACTGATAATGGTTCCACCTCCAATGCTTGTCTGCATCTCACACGCTCCCATTCTCGGGTGACCAAAACTGTAGCAGCTGGAACCAAATTATCCTTCGCACTTGGTTTATAGGTTTAAACTGAACTTTTTGACGAAATCTCTATTGGAACTTCAAAATCTCGAACAGTTAACAAATGGGTTACTAGCCCGTGTGCTCCAACAATGACTTTAACTAGATACTTTTGGGGGTATTATTTTGTCTAAACGCAATGGTTTATAGCATAAATGGCGTAAGAATTACACCAGTTTCCAGAGATGACGTTACTGTGTACTTGATTCTGATGAACAGGCATCTCTGATACGTGGTCTGGTTCGATTTAGACCTGTCTAGGCTTGGGCAACCTGGCAGTATCCCAGCCCTCGTGCTTCCTTCGGGTGGCATGGCAGCCAGGCGCCGAAAGGGTGCTACAGCTGAACACTTTTTTTCTTTCGATTTAGACCATGCAACTCAATCCAGTAAGCGGTGTCTGTTGTTATATCAGCATACGTCACGGCGGACTGCAACCTAGAAGATAAGATGGATGGTTTCTACCGAGATCTGTTAGCAGAATGCACGGATATTTTTTATCCTGGTGGTGGACACCAATGCTGATGTCGGCCCTTCAGTCCTATAAAAAGCATGTGTATGTAGTACTACTTGAGTTGATGCTTGCGGCAAGGATAATGGGAATTGACTGCTTCATTCTTGTAAACTTAATCGATGGGAATGTATCAGTTTAGCTGCTACACCCATGAGAAAATATCTCCTTCGTGGGATACGCCAAGAAGGAAGGTAGTGGAAATTTTCATATCCCTGGTGAAAATATTCAAGGACAGGTTTTCTGCATCTTTGGTTCGCATCGTTACGGGTATGAACCACCCATCGGGATCGACTCAGAATTTCATGTTTGCCTCACCCAACACAGCATTTAACGTAAACTTAGCTGTGCAGTTCGCATAGAAAGTAACGGCATGATCATCAGTGTTCCGTAGGGTTTCGAACCACTTACAGTCCCGTAAATCCCAAGAAATTCGCCGAGATCTTAATGTACTGAGTTTGGCATTACCCACTTTGATTTTGTAGGAGGTCGAACTCGTGGTCTAGCTAGTAGTAACTGAATATAACTTCTGCCAAAGTAGAGGTTGATGGTTTCCAGCGGGTTCACACTTGTGGACTCTTCTGCTGTTGCCGTGATCCACAAATCCAACTTGAGCACTCTCCCGTTATAACGAACTTTCTTCCCGGTTCACATGAGTTCTGTACAACTTCAACTGCTTCACATAAGTGGTTAAGCTTATAGCCTCACTGACTTATTCTGTGTGATGCAGTACTTTTCATTTTGTTTCAGCCTGATATCCTAGCCGTTGACCCGGAAACCTACCAACCATTGATTCTTCACCGACGTCTACTCGGTTATAGTATTTGACTAAGTGCAGGCGAAAAACGTGATGCTCCGCAACAAAGTCAATTGTTTGTCGGATTCTTCAAGTGAGATACACATGCACGATGTGGTTGATAATCTCCTGGCGAAGTTGGAGGCTTTGTGCAGGGAATGTCGTTCAACCCGAACGGATAACGCCCTATCCGTCCTGTGTGAGGTAAGCCAACTTCGGATCGATCGCTCTACGATATCCTAATGATTGTTTTCTAACCGAATGTGTGGCTCTGGATTTAGTTTTTTTGCCTGGGTCTCGGCTTTTGGCGAAGAATGACCCTTATTTCAGGACAACCCGCTGTTCGGCTCATCGACCTCCTTTTAGGTCTTGATGCATTGTAGCTGCTTACTGACCTACCTACCCACCCTACCTGGCCGTTTGGATTGGCTAAGTCCGTTTGGCCGTCATAGTTTGGGATGTACTTTTTTCTTGAACAAAAACGCCGACTATTTTGACAGTATTCAAAGCAGCTGTTTACTATTTGATTAAAACGGCAACCGACTACCTGCTGGGAGCTCACCAATTAGGTGTATCTTCATAAATACATAAATACCATATATTGCATCCAGTAAACGGTTAGTCTTTGCAAACTGAAACTAGAATTTACGGGTGAGTTTTCAAACAGAGCGAAACCGGTATCAGCCCATCGGCAAATTCAATTAGCGTTCCAACACTGCTTATCAAAGGAAGCGAGTGAATCCTCATTTTTAGGTGACTTTTTAAGATCAAGATACCTGGACTTCCAATTTATATCTTATTTGTGAATAGTATTCGCAGACGTGACTCTTTAGATCAGCTCTTTTTTCGATCCGATGAATCAGCTGGCGCCTATTTTCGATGATTCTGAACTAATGAATTACCTCCACAGGGTTTACGTTCTTTGTCGGCGCATGTGCGGGCAAAATGTATGGATGTGTTTGCCGCATTGGGCCGTCCCAAGCTTTGGCTACTTGCCAACCAAATTGGGGATCTGGTTTTGTGGCATACCGACGACAGTGATGCTCGTGTGCGTGAACGTGCATTCGACTGCCTTCGAATATGGTCAGTTTACGCGCCTGAGGAAATCACCGAACCAAAACTCGTTGGCTCTTCTTCTCGGCCGGAACAGTCGCAATGTCAGAATTCGACAGCCCAAGAAAGGCTCGGTTGGATGAAGACGAACTTAGATTCTGTCTATGCATCAGCCTGTCGGGGTCTACTTGATGCAGAGACTGTGGTAAGTTTCGTACCTTGGATGTTCGTAGATCAGCTGAAAAAGCCACTTCGAGGCATTTTTTTGAGTTCCACCCAGCTAGTCAGTCGTTTCATGCGGTCTTTCAGAGGAGGCAACCGTTTTTAATCGAACTGCCACTTTTATAGGGAAAATTATTTTCTTATACACTTATACACTGAGTCCGATCAAACTAAAAATGTATCCATGGGACGTCAACAGTGGAACCTCCTAAAAATCACAGGACGCTTTACTTTCGGATTTTCGTGGGCGTCTACTGCTTATTCGCAACTACCTGATTCTGATGCTTGTCGTTCATTACTCGCCCAGGACTCAGTCAACAGGAACCTAGGTGATGGTTGCACGTCTCCCGTCTAGCACATTTGTGTTTTATCATTCAAAAGATTAGCACTTCGTGTATATTTGTAAAGCACTACTCATAAGGTTGTTGAAAATTCGCTGACACATTCGCAGCACATTCACTTGCCTGGAAACATCACAAACGAGAGGTGCAGCTGGGTTCCAGGAGAATCTCTCGAAAAACCAAATTAGTTTGCAAATGAGTGTATTTCGTTGATTAGCGCTTCAGTTTATCACTTCTTAAGGTAAATGGGCTACTCCACGACCCTGAATGGGACGCGATTTCAACATAGAATCGCTGTATACTCTTCCGTTCGTTAATGATGCCAGTTCATTTGAGGTAAGAAATCACACAGCCATGGTAGGCGAAAAAAAGCAAAAACCGTTCAGCTTTAGCACCCTTTCGGTGTCTAGCTGTCATGTCGACGGAAGGGGGCGCTAGGACTAAAATACTACCAGATTGCCCAGCCCAAGACAGGGGCAGTCGAGATACTGAATTTGGGTTCGATCCGTGCCTTAACCCATGAACTATCTCGAGCTGAGCTCTCAAGCCGAAGAATTTATGTTTCTGTTTGGATGCTTCTGATAAAACGGCACTGTATCATTAGTTCTGGGATTATTACGGTCACATAGCTCTTTATAGTAGGTGCTGTCCCGAGATTGCCGTGGGCATAGTACAGACGCCGCTACCAATATACGTCCCTATTTTTCATTCTCTGAAGAATTTTCACTTTCTTCGAAGTGAGGGTTTCCTCCCTCAATAACTCAGGCATAAGAATACTGCCAAGGCTGCGCTTCACACATAATTTTAGTGCGTGCGGAACTGACTTGTTTGCATGCTGGATATTATTCATCAGCTGGTCTTTCATTGACGTACTAGCGACCGAGAAGTGAACAAAACTGGTTCCGTGAAAAACCCTGTTCTTAGTGTGTCGTGATCCCAAACTCGTATTAAAGTTGAAAAAAATATTAAAATACCGTTCAGCTGTAGCACACTTTTGGTGCCCAACTGCCATGCGACCACAAGGAAGCGCGAGGGCTGGGATACTCCCAGGTTATCCAAGCCCAGACAGGGGAAGTTGAGAAACAGAGTTCGGGTTCGTACCACGAACTGATGAGCGATACCGACCTCTAGTGTTTCAGTCAGCCGATGCTGACTGATGCTGACCGATGCAGGCGCGTTACTCGAGATGTTACACAGCCCATGTCTCTGATGGAATGTAGAGTTGAGTAGTCAATCTAGGTGTCGACCTCAACTTATGTATGTCTCGCTGGCATCCGATACAGACTCGTCTGACCTACCGGACGCCTGCGCCTAGTATGGGCTACCTGGTGCTGTATACAACTCAGTGGTGCCGATGTGAACTCGAGGGAATAAGATCCGCGGACAACCACGCACAAGCCTTGTTGCGAGCCATCAGCCGGCGTACGCATACTGGCATAACAATGAAAACTAACATTTTCACACTACGGCGCTGGCCTCGTTCGCCAGTTCCTCCAAGTTTCAGCGATAGGTCTCCATCCCACAAATGAATTACCATAGAAATGCTCTCAGATTGTAAACCAGTAGTGAGATTACTATTGGTTGTCGGGTACAGTCGGACTGGTGTCGATTAGAAATCACAGCAGACTTCTGGTAAATGTCTGCCACAAGTTGAAGAAAATTATCTGACCAATTCTCTGGCGCTGCCGTGGTGGTCTGGACTGGTAAATTGGTGAATTGTTAGTCCGATTATGCTTAAGGATGTGCGCCCGCAAGTAGCGCAGATTGAGGTTACTGTGGTTGTGCTCAACATTGTACGGCGGTTTCGGATGATGTGCCGGCGTTCGAGCATTCCGATGTGTTGTACTTCATGTCCCTTCAAGGGTGTACAGACGACAGTCCGCCAAACCGTTCTGTCAAATACCAGTTCTTCTCAGGATCAAGATTACAGTAGCGGAATTCCGGCCGTTCGATAGTTTAATATCCGTCCCTAAGCTAACCTCAAATAACTGTGATTATCACCCATTCCTTCTAATTGGCCTACCTAGCATGGCTGGTTGTGCATGATTTGATCTTGGTTCGGGATTTGATCTGACCTTTTAATTCTCTCTCTCTCTCTCACACACACACATCGGAATCGGATTTACCTTCAGAGTGTTGGGTCTAGCCATGATCTAAAAGGAAGGGGCTCTTCCAGTACCGGAATTTCAGACGACCCTAATTTTCAATTTCTTTCTTCAACAAACCGTAGAAAAGTTGTTTTAGACTGCGAATTTCAACGGCGCTCCCTGTAAAGACCCCAATTATCTGACAGGGGTTCTCCTATCATGGATTGTCCTTTCTCCGTAGTTCACCTTTGAATTATGATCTCATTGTGAGTGGCAGGCCATAACTTTGAGTTGTAGTATTCTCCTCGACTAACGGCTCTTTCTGTAGTGACTCCCTCTTTACTACAGCATTGTGTCTATCCACGGCGTTCACAGCTGTTAGGCTGTTTGCCGCTCCACAATACGCCTGATGAAAACGAATCTGTTTGGCATTTCTGAGGTTATTATAGAGGGTTATAGGGTGCTGTATCACCACGCTTACTACAACTGAATCAGGTTGCCAGTTTACAATGGGATAGTTTTCCTATACATTAGTTTGACTTGTTGGCCTAACCGTTGTCCTTGGTTTCAGCTTTCGCTCTTCGTCAGTCCGATGCTCGACGGAAGGCACACCAAAACGCTACCATAGACTTTGTCCAACATTTGTCAGTTTAAACATGGAGGTTGCACCAGCTGTGCAGAAGACGGGTGCATATGGGATTAAGGAGGGGTTATGTCTGGGAAGCATTGTTTGACCACAGCCCACTGGTTTTCAGCTTCTGTTACCCAGCGCTCTCCTTCCAGTGTACGTCCCATGGCCACTTCCCTCTTTGACATTGTCCCTCTCCAAATATTCGTTTCAACATGGCGATTATGTTTAAACTCATTTACTTATTTCTCACTACTGGAATTCCTCTCCTTTGTCAACACAGAAGAGATTCCAGAATGTGATAGAAACAGCTCGATTTAAAGCTTCAATGCGAGCACAACATTGTCACACTTTAACCTACGAAGTGTTGATCAGTCTTGAACAATGAACGTTCAGAGACTAACACAAAATGAATGTGAGATTTCTCGCCTTGGACGTGCGGTGGGACAGAAATCAACACTGCAGAAGCCGGGAGCAACAACCCTCATACCTCCATTCTTCTGTAACTCGGAATTCCCCCCTATGAGGGGGCTAAATCCACCAGTGGTTGTTATCCACTCTTATAGAGTATAGATATGCAACTTGAGAACAAAGTTTTGATACAAAGGAAAGTTTCGCGCAAACGTTTTTGGAGCCAACCTCAGCACATTTTTAAACATACTATTTTACCCGTTCTAATATCGTCGAGACGTAATCTCAGTGCTTAGCTCGTTGAAGTTGACTTCCTAAAGAACTACCTGGAGGATGTTGCTGCAATCGCTCGCTTTTCATGAACAGTATGCACCACGTGCGGTTCGTTCTGCAGTTGGCGAGAAAATCAGAAGTACAGTTATTTACATAAAAGAAACTACTCACAAGGTTGCTGAAAACTCTTCGACAGCTCACGACCGATTTCGCCCTTCTTGGGGCTCATCAGGTAGGCGCAATCCCCGAGTTTCCGTCAACCTTATGCTCTACTCGAACCCAAATTGAACTGTTCTCGAGAAATACACCAATTTGCAAATCAATTTGGTTTTCACGCGAGATTCAGTTGGTCTCTCGTGAGAACTACGGTTACTTTGAACAGCCTCATCCAAAGTTAACATTTGTCTGCAGTTTCCATACAGCTTTCGATTCACTACACTGGCTTCTTGACTCCCGTTTCTTCTTAGTCCATGTTTTTATTTTTTAGGTGCGCCGTACCAGCTTGCTCTTAGTCGCTAGGCTGAGCACACTTTGGCCTCACTACGAGCTAACCGACCCTCTGGCCATGGGTTTGCCATTCCCTTCTGGCTCTTCTGATCGTGTGGCTCTCGGTCAGTCCTCTTGCGGACCTATTCTCATGGCGGACGATGCATTTGCAAGGATATGTGTACGCCTTCAAGATCCCGCAAGACAAGTCAGGCAGTTGGCAGTACAACTTTTGTCCGAACTGGCCAATGTAGGTTGATTTTTGTACATTACTGCATATGGCTAATAAATAATGAATACATACTTGACGTTTGTTTCAGTCAGGCTTTTCACCCACCGTTTGCCTTCTTCGGAAATGCATTACACTCTCATTGAACCGCAAGCATTTGTAATTACCATCAGTAGTCTGAGATAGGCTTCAATACCGAAATCGTAGAACGGTTGTTCACGCTAAGAAGATACTGTCGATTTTCGTGCTACTGACATGCGCCCTTATTTACTTCCGGATTTACTTGAGTGATTTTACTATGATAAATGATGAATTTGGCAGACCTCATATGTGTAGCAATAACTTGATGACGTTCCATAAACCCCATACTATGTAATGTTCAACTGTCTCAAGAGGTTAGTCAGCATTACACCTTGGATGTACTTACTTCATACCACTACAGTAAACTCCATTCACGGTGACCATTCCTACAAACTGGAAGCTTTTAGTCAGTCCGATGGAGTTCCCATCGTAGCTATCGCAGCACATAGCAGCAGTCAACCATTCTCAGCCAAGTTCCCCCGTTTCGTTTCTAACGAAACTGTCTTATGCTAGTGATAGGGAATGCACGTAATTTGAAATTAACTAAAATTGGTTTCACGCTTGACACTGTCCATCCCGCCGGAACGTTCGCTCTTTAACGAACTAATTAGCGGTTGTTTTAGACTTCAAGGTGGCTACTCACTTACTACTTACCTACTTCCTTCAGAGAGTAAATCGCAGCCCAAAAACGTCAGTCAAGTTCCCCTAGAGCTACCATGACAGTGCACTTCTTTCTCAGTACTGAAGTTTTCTCAATGCGCGAGGGTCGTCAGTACGCTTTGACCCGTTCTGTAACAGCATTCTCCCTTTTAACTTGATAGATTACAAGACTGCTTTACTGTGCCATCTGATACCATTGCTATTCTATTTTATCTACAGTCAGTTGCTTCCAGTTGTCTCATTCAAACCCTGGAAAAAATGGTCATGACTGATCGCCGGGTACGTCGTGCCAAATCCGACGAGACTCCCATGACTGCGAAGGTGGGCAAACGTGGAGCGAGCGAACCGGCTACTGGTTCGGGTAGCATCATGTCCACTGGACCAAGTGGAGCAATTATCAGTGGACTGGAGGATGATTATTTCGGTATGTTGTCCATTGTTTTGGTTCGATAGGCAGAAGCAACCTTAATATTCTATGAGGTTTGTCAGTAAATCTCGTTTTTCTATTGATTTTTTCTTCAAAACAGATGAAGGCAGAATCATATAGAACCCTATCTTTCAGTTGCGAGCGATCTAGTTTAACAGAACTCAATTGATGCACTAGATTACCGTTCTTTCAATTCTGGTGAAGTGTGTTGACGAAGTCTCCTTTACCCAGTAACGTGGAGCGAATGCGGTTACCGTCACGCTGAGTCGTGTAGGCTCCTTACTCCTTGATTAGAATCAACGTGGTGCTCCCCGTATGTGTGACAGGAAGCTTAACTAATTCAGCATATTGTCACCTATCCAAACTGCCTGACAACGTGTTGCTTTTCGTTATTTAGCGGACTGGTCTTGGGTGAGGTGCACGAAGGATGCCGGACCAATCCCATTCATGGTGTCTGGCGGTATTCTTCACTCTCCTCAGTGCCTTGATGCGTGTATGAGGAACGCACTTTCCTTCAACTGAAACAAACGTTATATTCGGTTCACATACCCAGTCAAGCGGTTTGCTGTGCTCTCTCGATTGTGAACTTTGGGAGAGTCAGTCTCCGAAATCACCCTCAACTTCTCTAAGTAAAAGGAAGGTGTCATATTTAACTCACCTGTCCAGTACAACCTCAGCGTGGAAGCTAAGGCATCTCCTGTTGCCTTCTCTCGTAAAAAAATAGCGGTACTTGGCTCGTCCAATTAATCCTGTCTCTAAAGTTAATGTGCATGGATCAGCTAATTCTTATCCACCTGTAGCACGTCTCCTCTTTACTTTTCTGTTTCCCCATGCTTTTGTGTGGAAATTTGTAGATGAAACCTGTCAAACTTCCTTTGAACTGCGTGCGGAACTGTGACTCCCTCGGGTAGTACTAAAAACGCATTATTTATTTTGAAGCGAACGCTTTTCTATGGGGGTTTTGTCGCATATTGGTGTATACCCTGCGGTAGAAATTTTGGCTCGTTAACACCCTTTGCTTTCCATGGGACTGTTGCATGTTGGGAGGGTAGATCACTGTATTGTTGACGCTCGGTTTTTCGGATGGCTATAAAAAACCCATTTCGAAAGGGCAACATGATTGGTAGTCTGCGGGATCTCCAGCATGCGCCACCCATCAGATAAGCAACAAGACTAGCGCTCAAAGTACTTTGTTTAGGGGTCGGGGCGTGTTCTGTTGCAGGCTAATCGCTTTCCGCATTTTTTCCACAGAGGTTCGCTGTGCAACCTTGGCCACCGTCACACATCTTGCCTCACTAAACACCGAATTTGCCTCCGGTTGTCAAGATCTTTTGGTGGACATGTTAACTGATGACATTCAAGAGGTGCGCTTGGCCGCTGTTTGCGCTTTAGGAGCTGTGGGTGACCAGGTAAAGAGGCACGTTTTATTGACAGTTGGACTTTATCCTACCCATTCTTATAATCGAATTTAAAGGGCACCTGCTGTTACGTTGAACTTTCTACAGAACTTTTACTGATGGAATGATTTGTGGACGCCAACCGACTGTCCGTTTAGACTAGCTTCAGCCGGGAACTTTTGAGTAAAGTTAACGACCAGTTAATTCCTATACCTTTCTGTAAACAATCTATGGTCGACAGACTATACCCATTTGGAACTTAGTTTAGTCTTAAACAAAGAACTCGATTGAATCCTAGCTTATTATCGTTGATAATATTATTCAATTCAAACTGCTGCATAAAACTACCTCATGTGTCCGTTGATATGAATTCTAAGTACTGAAGTGTATTTTTTAACACAACATTCATGAAAACCGCTTGACAGTCCACTACCACTAGATGCATCCGATCTGCGACTTAACGAGTGCTTCTGTCAAGACCTCGACTACCATGGAATAGCACAGTCCTGGTGTTTCAAATTGGTTACTTACCAGTTATGTTTTACACGTTTGTGAACGCTTCGATTACTCAGGCAGTTTTGTGAAGCAATGTCACGTTTTATTATATCCTTTATTTGCTAGTTCTTTTGCTATTGATCGACAAATAAGATACAACTGAGGATGCTTTTTCTGGTAGTCAACGAGGACTCCAAGTGTACCTGTGAACAGAAAGATGAACGTCAGAGACAGCTTCGAACCTGCTATCTGTTGTTCCCCGAACGGTTCTCTCCAAGTTTGCTTTGGCCATCTGGTTCACCGAAGAAATGGTGTTGAATATGCCCCTCCCCCTGAACAATGGTTCGGCTACATATTCATGTACTTACGTCCACAGTGGCACACTCACTGTTCCCCGAGACAGTTTCTGTAATGTGTAGTCTTAATAATCCAGCTTTTTCCCATTCAAGTCTGTTTTGCTCTCTATTCGTTGTTCTAGGTTCCCCTACAAAGTGAGCAAGTTGCTATTATCACATCAGCATTAGCAGAAAGCTCTGGTCGTATACGGCGTCGCTTGCACCAGCTCTTGGCTCGATGTCGTCTCTCTTCAGCACCTTGTTTGGTCAGTCTTCTGGATGGTTTGTTACACAATCTGAGGCGGTATCCTCAGGACCGAGATAGCCTCTGGCGGTAAGCGATGTTGCTCTTTTTCTATTCACTATCTCCCCATACTGCTTCTTCGTTCCTTCGTCGCTTCTGTTCACTCACAAATCCTTGTATTGTCTAACCATGATTTAGTCTAAATGCACATGTGTAGAGGATTCAGACGCTGTCATATGCGTCAGTTTAATTGTCAATACCATTGATTGGGCTTGGTTCTCGTAACTGTGGATATTTTCCAAGACACATTTGCTATGTAAACTCGTAACCAACAGAATTAGTCTCCTATACATGGGATAGACATCTGACTGTATGCTTGCACATTCCAAAGATTGCTGATACTGTTTTGTTTGAAGCAACCTTTTCGAACCGCGTGCCCGCGAATGCCCTACTTCCTACCTGGACACGCCCCGTTCGGTCACGCCTCCCCAGCCTGTTCAGTTCCTAGCCGGTCTGAATCGTGTATTAGCACAGTATGGACATCCGTCCCTTCTGTCCTACTTCTTTTCGTATCTGGATTACTTGTCGCGGTGTATTCTGTTACCCCATGGGCTTTTTGGGCATAGCGTAAAACAGTGCTGCATCCAGACTGGGCTGGTGTACCAATCAGGGCCCCGTTGGTTGGATGGCATGCCATAGTTCAATAAAATAACAACCACTAGTCTGATAAAACGCGACACCTTTAACGTCTCACTCAATCCATAAGGATTTACAGTTAATTTGGACGCATTACAATTTTCCATTTGTGGCATGCCGCTTTCATCACAGGGTTAAGTGCACTTCTCACACTTTGTTCAACGCTTTTCTTCTCAACTCATCTGTGGCCGTATTACTCCAAGTTGTTTTTTATTCCAGTTGTGCAGCCTCTGTCGGCCGACGTCATCCCGCATTTGTTGAAACTTGTCTGTCCAGCTTGCTTCGAACTCATTCTTGGTTGAGTGGTCCCGAACCCAATTGGGAAGACCCAGCTTACCTAACTGTCCTGTTGCTCGTATTGAACGCCGAACCAGGGGCTCCAGGAATACCCGCAAAGTTTCCGCGCCACATATCGGCCACAAAAGTAAGCCGTTGTTCCCCATTGGAGATGGCTTCTCGTAAGAGGAGGCTTATAAGGGCCGTACAGCATACTTTCTAGAATTTCTGCCCCCCAATTTTTTCTACGGTTCTGTCGCAAACAAACTAACCACTGACGGAGTGTTGTAGCATCATATACTAAAAATGCAATTTGTGAGATAAATTGACTTCCCCTCTCTCTCCTAGTTATGTAAAGTTCGTTGGAAGATCAAGCATGGAGCTTTGTCAAAGCTTGACATCGCTCGTTTACTGTCGCTTTTTGGGACAAAGCGGCCAACGCATTAGCGGATAAAGGGAGTGTAAGCCCTTTTCATTTTGACCTCCATTCCTGAGAATTAAACCAGTCGTCTTAGTACCAGAAGGTTCATCGTCTTCGAGTTTATTGGTCCTTTTTCCCGAAGAAGTAGCAACAAAAAAATCCCTTTACCTCCAAAACCTTTCTTTCAGAAAGAACGTTTTTTAGCTTTCCTATCCCTGCTGATTCCGTCTTGTCATTTAGATAAGCTACTGGTGCTTTCAAAGTAGTCAAAACCCGACAGCGTTTTGAGTCACTTCTATCGTCCATGGCAGTGTGATCTATCCGAAAGCCCAAACTAACATCTGGTTACCTTAGAATTCTGTCGAACTGACTTGTATGTTCTTGCCGCACGTACATAGGTTTAGCGGTACGCGCTATTTTTCGTTCGGACATAAGGGCACAACCTAGATCGAGTTCACCTTCTTGAATCTATATTCAAGTCGTTCCCGCCATTCGACACCAAAGGGTAAGACTATTTTTTCTCAGCCCTACTGAAATTTGGACTCAGACTACGTTGTACTTTAGCACTTGCTCTGGTCTTTGCGGATTTACATGGGGGATTGGATCGTTCCTGGAGCTGTCCACATAATATCAGCAATGACTGTCAAATCAGGTTGTCTCCTAATTAGATGCCCATTTAACGCGGTCCTTCTGCTGTCTTCTGATTGCCTTTAATTTTGCACAGGCTAGATATAACCGTGTGGTGTTTGGGCGGTGGTTGTGCGGATTCGCGCTGAAATAATCATATCAATTACTCTCGGTCGTATCTACCCCTATTCTACGGTGTTTCTGGTCAGTGACGTTATCTCGCCCATTCTTACTGCTGGGATAAGCCGTTCGCAACCAGGCATGTAACGTGTAAAAACCTAGCTTTTCGTGCTTCCAAAAACGTGGACAGTGGCACTAACAGCCGTACCGCCACCGCTTGGACAAGCCTCCCACCGCCAGGTGGATCAAACCTCCGGGTCATTGGCCCTCGAGCCATGTCCTCTTAAAAAACCGCCTATGTAGGTATATATTTGTTCATTTGAGGCCAAAGCTACTTACCTGAATGGGTTAGTATGATCGCTCTAGGGCCATCTGTAGGATTTACCCACGCATTGCATGACGATCGAGCAAGGGTTCTGACAGCACCAGCGGATAATTATTGATCCGTCAGATCTCACTTACGCATCGACTTGAACTATCGATAGACCAGACTTGTGACCATATAACCCAAGTGATTGGACATGACGTCCCTCTTTTCCACCACCTTTCTTCATTCTCCATTCTCAGGTTTATTTGCGTGAGTTGGTTCCAGGTCTTCTTCCTAAGCGGACTGCTCCTTCGAGCGATGGCCCAGATGACCGTGTAGTGCCTATGAAGGTAAGAATTTTCACTGTTCATTTCATGTGGCTTAAACTGAGAGGTCGATGGTCGGACACTGGTGAACTCGCTTTCGAACCTTCACACATTCATGCCAATTTATTTTGAATAAAGCACAACACTGAAAAGAAGAGACAGGAATTCTAAAATTCTCCATACTTTTGGATCTCCAGTTTTGGCCCCTCTTGTGGTACTCTTTCTCATCCGTAACACTTGACGAATGAGAAGGGTTAGGGGTTGCATATACTCATCTGCTAATTAAGCTGGTATTAACAGGTGACGTCGATTACGGCCAGTTAAATTGCTCGTTGATGATGTTCTTCAACTGGACGTGCTGCTCAAAGCAATGAATAGATAATCGTTCAGCTGTAACATCCTCTTGGTACCTAGCTGCCTTGCAACCCGACGCAGGCGCGAAGGCCGAGATACTACCAGTTTTCCCAAGCCTTGACAGGAGCATTTGAGATGCCAGGGTTGAGTTCGAACTACACACCTTCCGGTCAGTAAGTTCGCGCCCTAGCCACTGGACTGTCTCGAGCTGAAGCTACAAAGGTCGCCTCATGTTTCAGTTGGGACGCTGTTCGAAGTATCCCAGTACATTGTCTTAGTCGAACACATTACTTGTAAGTCTACTGGAAAACTTCGGCACCCTACGACCTGTTTAGCCATTCCTGGGGCTCTCCAGGGACTCCTCGAGTTTCCGTCAACCTTATGTTAGCCGCACTATCCTCGTCCTGTACTTACGTTTTATTTGAATGGGCTTTTCTCACACGTTTGTTAACGAACGAAGTTACCTATTTGCTGTTGTTATTCGAATAAGGACAGGCTCTCTAAACATCGAACACATTCCACAAAGCATCGCGTTCAACTGGTCCAGGTTGGTCGTCATATCTACTCACAGTTATACGTTAAAAAGCTACGTAAGACCTGACGACAACGTCTTCGGTGGGAACTCTGTGGAATAACATTTGGATCTTGTGGAATTGGGAGAGAACTTTGCCTCGGCTGAGTTATCGATAAGATAAACCGCAGAAATCAGGACACATCTCTTCAAGAGAAGCGTTAAGCCTGTGAATCTCCGTAGAATTGGATCGATTGAATCGAATTATTGGAACGGTTTGTTCTACAACCAAAGGGGTGTCCAGAAGTTTTCGCCCGAGCGCATAGCGTTTGGATCGCCCCACCAAATCTTCCCTTGGATACCGAACATGTTTCCTCCGTGACATCAGTGTACATTCCACACCTCATTGAAGATGCATTCTATGATCGTCGTTCGTTTTGAGGGAAATTTTGGTAGTTTATACTGTGTTGATGATTGTTATCGGTTCTCGGAAGAAATAATTCACCCTCGATAGGTGAACTGGCCTGGCTTCGCCATGTGCTGCGTTTGCCTGTCATCAATCACTCACCCGATCGGGATAGGAAATTACCCTGTGTACTGCATCCTGGTAGGCAAGACCAGCAGCATTGTCCGATGCTGCGGTGTGCTCCGTATTACTATATGGATCAGAAATCTGGCCCCTGCGCACTGAGAACGGTGTCTTCGGAGCGTTGCCGGAATCTGATGGGAACACCGGACCAGCAAATGCTGAAGCTCGTCGAATGGTATTCTGGAGAAGTAACTCACCCTTGACAGATTAACAGATCACACTGCATAGGTTGCGCTGGCTTGTCCACGTTCTTCGTATGCCAGTCGACCGACTTCCTCGAAGGGCTCTTTTCGCACAACCACGTGAAGGGTGGAAGAGAGCCAGAGGCGGTCAAACAATGACTTGGTAGCGAAGTATAAAAGCCATTACCAGAAAATTCAGCTGCGCTGGTCATTGCCGTCCTCCTGGATGGGGACCCCGAGACGGGCCAAATCAATGGTTGGGGAGATTGTCAGACATGGCCGAGTCGCGCCCTCAGTGGCGCTCGTGCATCCAATCTTTTACCTTCAATGCATAGCTCTCTTCCCAATTCCCCTCATTAAGCACCAATTTGTCAGCCCCCGCCTCCAATGCGCAGCTACCTACCCCACCTCCCCGAATCATCGGTGAACGAAACTGTGGCAGCTACAACCACCGTACGACAAGTACGTGGTTCTTACAGCTAACGATGCTAATGTTGTTGGTTCTAATCTCATGTTCAACTCCATGGGTGTTCTGCTGGAGGTTTGAAGGACAAAGATTAATTGTTTTCAGCTCCGGTGTTAAGTAGCACTAGACCGAAGTTTGGTGACCCCCCGTGTGGACAGTCGTGCGACTAGCAAACGTGTCAAGATTGGGTAATTCTATTTAGAAAATATATCTATTCATTGTCCCACCTCCATATTTTCTGACAATATTTGAATGAAAGTTCCTTCTCGCCACTAAGTGCTCCTAACCACCGCTTTATCTTCTGTGACCAGTTAAAGTCTCCGTCGTATTACTGCGTACGAAATCAGATGTTCACTCTTTTAGACAAATGAAATGCCACCAACTCAGCTCTATGGATTCATTATCAGGATCTCATAAACCCACTGGGACATTGCATGTCATTTCCTTTCAATACGCCCCATTTATCTTTCTTTAGCGTCTTCGCTCAGACAGCGATGGCTCTTGTGCCGGTTTAGAGAGCCTTTGTCGATTTCTCCTTGATCTGATTTCTCGGATAGTCAGAGTGTTGACCGACATCCAAAGTAACCTGCCAAACACAACGACTGATGAGGGCGAAGCCACAGAAACTCCGGGGAAGAATGAAATTAGACTGTAAGTGATATGCTCTCGATTGATATTTCGTTATTCCAGGGCATGCCGCCATCGCCAGAATGCAATCGGATTTGAGACGCAATTCTTAATGTCACTTTTGAATTAGGTAGTGGTGGATGATTAAAAAGCCCCGAAGTGTTTGCGTTCGAATTCGACGTAAGCTACAGCTCGTCAGAAGTGCACATAAGCCGCCAACCAATGGTGTGATCGTGAGGGTGGATCGTACATTTTTACGGAGTTTCGTTCTTCGCCTACTGGAGATACAATGCGACTTTTCACGCCAACCGATGTGCAGTTTCTAATTACTGACCTTGGGACATTCTGAATTGAGACCGACGCACACTTCGGTCGAAAACCAACCCGAATTCCTGTTCTTCTTGCAGCCGTGTCATCCAACCCAACTACGTTGAAATCGTAGCAATGCAACAAACTAATGCAGCTTTAAGTGACATCTATTCGTCAGCACTGTTGAGCTGGAGAGCTGTATTTCTCGGTATGGAGTCAATTGGGGTAGACAGAAACCCTGAATAGATCTTTTGCTGAGCTAGGCCGAGTGGCTTGTGATCTCACGTGTGAAATTAAACGTACTTTTCCATGGGTTATCATGGGAAAAAAGGGGACATGGACGCTAGCGATTTGCAACTGATAACTGTCCGGTTTCTGAGAGATCCCTTCAAAAGGGGTCGCCTTACTGATCTTTTGAAACGCCTCTTAAAGGTTACATCCATCACGAAAGGAACTAATACAGTTTTTCTTCCCCAACATTCCTTCCTTGACCTTCTTTGACCAAAAGTGCCCGTGCTGTAAAATAGTCTGATATTGTTCAACCAATTTTTAGGAGGTAAGTAAATTTACCCACTTACTTGTCATCTGTACCACGGGAAAAATTCAATTTACGTGTACATATAATATTTTATGAGTTTGCTTGACTAATTGTCAATCACCTGGTTCGGGAAATATCCACCTTGCATTCCAGAACTCAGAAAAGATATATCTTCCTACAAAGGCGCCTCTCGTTGCTGACGCGCTTGGTGTTTACGGACTTGTGCCGTACGGTACGCTGCCTTGATCGAACAGGGCAGCTGAACGGCCTTGTTGAGTGGATGGTTCTTCTGTCCACAGCTGGATGGTGCTTGATATCTTCACTTTTGGATCCATCGCCGTCTTCTTCAGTTACCAGTTCTGATGTGGTCAATGAATCCTCAGAACGCATTTCTGCACTGGAAGTCTGTCCGGGCTTGTCTGCTCCCCAGAGGCGCCGGATATCTAGTCTGTTGAAGAGAACCTTCAACATGGTGCTCAAGGTAAGGGAATCGGATTATCAATACATATATACTTCTCAACCCTCGTACCCCATCCTTCGGGTGAACTACTACCAGCCAGAACGTAATGACTGTCGCTATTCCCGGTTATTCGGTATGAATCACATAAGGTTTAGGGCTCAAATCATAGGCTGCTGTTACGCGTGACGACGCACACTTTAGGCATCCAGCTCTGTGTTTTTGAACGGAAATCCGCCTGCATTTTATGTGGGCAGCTAACTAACTTTGATCCGATCGTTTTGTTTTGGGCTTATTTCTATTAATTTATAACATATTATAGTAAGCTGTCCTTAGCGGAATACATTTATTCACATGCCAATTTAGTTTCGACGGGAGATTCACATGTAACCCAGCTGAATATCTCGTTTTGTGATGTTTTTAAGCAACTGAATGTACTGCACAAAGGCCGCCTCATGTTTCAGTTGGCACGATATTCGAGATATTGCAGTACATGAATCTATCGTTTATGCGAGTTTTACTGGATATGCATAACCTGCGGCGAACTCATGATGACAGCCAAAACTGAACCGTCAATTCGTATGACAGTAAACGGTCTGTTATTGAGAAATTACGATCTCGTGTTCCAATTTCAAAGGAGGTTGCTTTTCACGCAGGTTTCACTTCAGTCAAGGTCGACGATCAAGTGATTACATGAATTTGAAATGCGCCTCTGCTTTTCACTCCATTACTCTGCAATGGCTTTAACGTCGACTCACCAAGAAACTACTGAGGTGTAATACAGAGTGGAGAAAATCCAGTTGTCAGTTCATCAGCTCAAGTTCTTCAACAAAACCTTGACATTCATGATCGTGTTTGCACTCTCCGTTCACGACTTAGTTTTCGTGCTGATCTCGACAAACGTGATTACCTCATTCGACCTCGGTCGTTTCGCTACCTCTTGTTCTGTTGGATCAACAAGTTAATGGGGATATTCATCCGGCTGTTCTGATGATCTTGGCAGTTTGCAGCAGGTACGAGTCTCATGAATTTCGGGAAACAAAAGGCAATGCCTGTTGAATCATGTTTCTCAGGCGTTCGTATTCGCTCAAGTAAGGTTACGTTGCTCTTTGCATCATTTGTATGCCGTCGTACGACAGTCTGCTTATTTCATGAAGCTGTCGATGTAAGGTGTGAACATTACATTGAACTGTGGTACTTTAGTGAGTAGAAATCAGGGCGAGATGGCCCAAGTGGTTAGAGCGCGAATTTACTGACCGGAAGGTCCGTGGTTCGACTTCCCCTGTCTAGGCTTGGGCAACCTGGCAGTATCTCAGCCCTCGTGCAACCTTCGGGTGGCGTGGCAGTTAGGCACCGAAAGGGTGCTACAGCGGAACGCGAAATCAGCTGTAGCTAATACGGCTACAGAGAGAACTTTTTGGCCTCAGAAATGTCATTTATAACATTGATTTAGTCCAGTACGAGGCTCATTAGATGCCCAATTCCGTGTGTCAAAAGACTGGAATTTCAGTACGTAACGGGCAGGAATGTATGTTGGGACAAAGGTTGACAGCCGAGTAACAGCAATAATAACAAGTCGTTCGATCGTAAAATGAGTATGAACACGTCAAAAAGTTAGATGGTCCTATTAACCTCACTGTGAGTGTTAAAATCACTTAATTATTTGCGGGTCAGTAGGCAACGAGACAAACTAAAATGCATTCAATTGGGGCGCAAGTCAGAAGTAGGGAAAAAGTTTCTTGATTCATTTCTCTATTTTTGTTATACCCTACAGGCGGAATATCTCTTTATCGGGAAGACAAAAGAAGAACAGAATTTGGTCTGTCAACTCTCCGAAACTGTTCTTTCCCTTATCCGGAAAATTTCAATGGGTGGTCCGCCTGACTATCAGTTAGTCACTCGTGGTCTTTCTGTACTAATCCCATTATTCTCCGGTCTGATCGCTGCAGATAAAACGGATTCTTCGGTACGTTCCCACTCTCTGCTCTTGCCCTCGATGAATCGTCTGTTCCCGGTATATGTTTCCCTCCTTCAACCCTCCTCCATGGACATCGCCTCGGATACGGCCAGATTACACGGACCGCATCATACATTACCAGCGTTTCTTTCTGCCAAACTCAACGATGAAGCAGATGAAGGCAGCATTTGGACAGTCCCCACACACAATAGCCAATCTGTTTCCAGCAATATTATTCCAGAGATACGGTTCACTGCCACGATAGCCACCGCGTCTGTCCGAATACGTGCCATTATCATTGGGCTGAGTTTGGAGTCGGCCAGGTTCGTTTGTTTTGTTTGAGTCACACTTCTCGTTTTCTCTCTGGTTTATTGGCCAGTCGTTGGCTGCTGTCAGTTTCACGGTTTATCGCACGTGGGCCTTCTAATTCACCCGGTAGTCAGTAGAGCCGCACATCTGGTCATGCCTTGCGTTGGTATCATCGCGCATGTGGTTTGTCTTGCGCGAACCCGAGGCTACTACTTGTTCAAGGTTCAATTTACATTTATCGTGGATAGCTACGAGTAATGTCCTAGACAAGAGTCTGATCTGCATTATCCGTTTACAGGAAGTAACCACTGTTTGTGCGGGCCCCTTTCAAGAGAGACTGAATTTCTTTTCAAAAACTCGTGTTGACTGGAAACCTAGTATATTCGTTTCATGATGACAATATTTGAACGCCTCATTCACCTCACCGGACTGTTTCCATACTTCTTGATTCCATGCTATACTATTCGTCCATCATTTTACTCGGTGGTTCGATTCCTATTCGGTAAAGATAGGTTTCTAAGTTAACCAATAGGTTTATCATTTCTCGATCGTTTACGTTTCAGAGAGCACATCTGTGTATTGTTCCGGCGTCCAGATGTGGCGCATGTTCAGCACCGTGAACCGGTCAACCGCCACACCACTGCCTCAGGACTTCATGAATGGTGGCCCCCAGTTTCTTCTTGGCACTTACTAGACGAAGGACTGCCTTTGAGTTACGACGAATTACATCCTCACACCGAGGTAGTGGAGCGCGTCGAGTTGCGCGCTCACATGGAACTAACTGCGGGACGTTGGTCTGATGCTGGCACGGTCGAAATAGGTTTGGGTTATTATCTGGAGAGATCAGTTGCATCCGGTCAACCGACAGAGGATCAAGTTGTTTCATCTGTTCCAGTTCAAGCTAAACATCGTATCATTTTGCCCCTTACCCCAATATCGTTGTTCGCAAAGGTGCGCTTTGTTCCTTCTGCTCCGATTCCGCAATGGTAACAGCATCCGGCTCACTGTACAGTTTTGTATGATATTTCTGACTCTAATTTCACAAGTGCCTGCCTCAGCACTGACATTTTTTGTTGAATTTTGTCATTACACCTATGGCTTCTTGATGGCCGCAATCGGATCCGCAACATCTTTTGTCCCGGCTGGCATCCGGTGTGACTCGGGTGCCAAGTCTCCTGACTAACTGGTTTTCTTGGACCTTGATAGTGTGCTCGAATACCTAGTTTTACAGAATAGGTTGAAGCATGCAAGTCGCTGACTGGGTGATTTGCTCGAATACATCCATTTTGAATGCAACTGTTCAGCAGAACGTCTCAAGTTCGTGAACGCAATCCTTTCTGTTTACTCAGATGTTTCTGGGCACGTGAAAGCGTCCTCCATTCCTTAAGTTCGTATTTTCCCATGGAAAATACTAAAAAAAAGCGGTGTTCACATTGTTGTTGATGTGAATCCTGCGGATTAGGAGCATGCAGATGACAGCGTCCCAATTTTTTTTAACAAAAGTGCAAGCAACATTAGTTAAACGAACCACCATTCATCAGCTTCCGTTTAAAAACCCGGAATACACAGAGTGTACAATCACAATTCAACCTGAAGCACTGGAGGTAGTTACGTTAGCTGTGATAAATGTGTCTCGTGGAACGTATATATGGGACCCGAAGGCCTGAACAAAGTTCGCCAATCCAAACCGCTTGCATTGTCAGAAAACCTGTAGCACCATCTGTGTTGTATAGATGTAAGAGATCCTCTATGGGCAAAGAATCTGAGGTGTCTTCAGATAATTGGCCACCAGCGCGTTGGCCGAGCGCACTCGGATTCAGCAAAAGGTACTTTGAGGCACAGCAGATTTCATTGAACAAAGAACGGATTGACCCTGGAGCAACATATTGGCTACATACACCTGCTGGCCAGCGTAATCCATTCCGAACAAGTCATTAACTCTCAGTCAAATTGAAACCACTTTGATCAAGTTCCGCTGACTGCTGTACTGTCTCACTACTCTCCGTCATCTACGGAGCGCTTCTATGCTCGCACAAGTTGACGAAGTGCATACAGCAATGATACACTCGACCTACTTTATCATCCCAATTTTCGTCGAAATCAACTCACGCCTAGTTTTTCTTCCCGATTGTATTCCGTACGAAAAATAGTTTGCAAACTCTCAGATATTCCTGTGGTCGTTTTTTTCTCATCAGGGTTTTGCTAGTTCCACTCTCTGGTCCCGCTTGTCGCCTCGATAATTTAGACCAAATCACCAAACGGTAAAACCGATAAAGTCATCACTAATAATGTTCTAATTGGTAGGCTTGTCTCAATTCCACTCGACTGGCGGATGAGGTTTTCGTTCGTCTACTGTGTCTCCGCTCATCTCAGTGATGCGTGACTTGAATTCGTTAGACTTGCTACTGTGTGCCAGTGTGTTTGAGTGAGAGTGAGGAGCCAGACAACTTTACACATTACGTTTGTTCACCCGCACACACACCAGGTGGATTTTCCGTTTTCTGTTAAGCATCGGTGGTTACTATGGTGTTGCTTGATTTCTGAGGGAGTATCTCCTGTGTACGTGTGTGCGCGTGCATGCTCCCTCTCCGTATACGCAATGAGGATCATTGTGACAAAATGTCTCATCAAATAGCTGTCATTTTCCTCCCCGCTCTGACGGGAAGCAGCGAGGCTTGTTGCTTTGGAAAATTACTTCACGATTTGTTCAACCATGGGTGGCAGCGTTATGCTAATGAGGCGTGTCTCTCTCCCTCACCACACGAGGCCAAATTATTGAATGCTCTTACCTGTTTAATTGCACTTCCTGTCGGGAATCAAAAACCGTCTTGAATGTGGGTTTTCATACCGGGTATGGGTGAAAGAAACCACTCCGAAACTGTTTATGAGCTACTCGTCATGTTGGTAGTCTTTCTACGGCAGAACTCATCCCGTTATTTTTATCCATTCATTCCGAAATTTCTGTAGGTTATAAATTCGCCGGATGATAAGCTGAAGCTTTTTTGCTGTTTGATTCAGTGCTTGATTCTTCTAGAGGAACAATCGTTGAATTTAGCTTACCTGATATGTTTTAGTTACCGCTGAATTGTTCTTGGCTTTAAACTATTGCGAGCACGCTGCTGTATCGGCTCATGAATACATCCTTCTTCCGGTTGGTGATCGCCTTGATCAATCGCCTGGGTTGATTTTTCGTAATTTCGTAGTACTGCTGCAGGACACGTCGGTAAGTAAGTCTCTCTTACGGTGGACATTTTTGCCCGCTTGAAGCAATCCGAATATCTGTGTTCACTAAAGAAGTTTCGTAAATAAATTCCAGTTCTAGCAGTCATTGTGTCATGGGAATCAGCTCCCCAAGCACCACCGGGGGAAATCAACTCAAGCTCTATTTAGCCGCCAGGCACGCGACCGACGTGATGCCATCCAAGGCAGTATTCGTGAACCGAAACTTAAACCAGCTTAATGTGTAGACATGCTAAGCGACTTGACCCTATCCGAACGCAGGGCCTCCAACATGTACATTCTCCCAATTGTTACCATGAGGACTGACGCCATGTGGGCGAAACTTGCCAGCCGCTGCCCTTTGACAGAATGCTCAAATCCAGAAAGGCACATGCGGCTTTTTTGGTTAACTCTGGACCGTAGGAGCTCGATCTTGTTGCCGTCGTACCAAGGACAGTTGACGTGAACTTAAAATCCAATTTGGAAGTTTAATAAGCAAGTAGCTAAGCTAGTTATACCCTAAAAATGAAACTGAAGTTGACACTGGTTAACTCGTATTACCCATACTCCAACCATAAATTGAAGTGAGCACTTGACAAGGCGGTGTTTTAGTGCTTCGAAGCTTTTGCAGCTGAACAATCCGAACCTTAGCGTTTAAAGGTGGCGTTGGAAGCCTGTTAGTGAATAAATTCAGGTAAATTAACAGGAGGGACGATATTCCGTCTGAAAAATCCCGACTTAAAATTGCAAAGTGAGAAGGCCGAGAGAATGACAAAGCAGACGGTGACCACAATATCAGCACGTCATAAGAGTATTATTCTCATGACTTTCGTACCAGATCTCCTAAATGATGGAAAAAATCATTCGATTGCGCTCACGAGCGTTTTCCTCACGTTGAGAACCGGATGAACATTGTTGTAGTGGGAGCCTGATATGATTGCCGGTTCGGTTTGTGCCCACAGCCGCCGTTAGGGATGTCAAATATGGCTTGCCAACAGCCTGATTATCTTCGCATAAAGACGGTGTTTTTGAAAGGAGCAGGCCGATTACAGAATGGACCACCTGACTGTCAGTATTCCGGCCAAGTTTGCTTTGTAAAGCTTGTCGTATAAAAAACAAAGGGTTTAAAATGTGTATCATCTAAGCCACTTTCAATGGGTTGGATTTTGTTTACATAGGCATGTCGGCAAAACAAGTCCCCAACCGCATTGTTACTCATTGAGCCAAATACAACAGCATCGCCAACCAGTGTTCCCGGAAAAGAAACTGAGAGAGAGAAAGGTAGCCCAATTAATTCAAACTGTTTATCCTGACGGTACCTGTTGATTGGAGCGGAGCCTGCATGATTACCTCAACATTATGCGGGCTGATAAAATGTACGCAATCGCATGAATCATTCGTGGTATCACTCCTTTCCCGTACCCGTACTTATCTTGCAACCTCAGCTGAGCCTGTGGCAGTAGAAACAAACAGGAAACCAGCGTCATCGTTTCTAGCCGACACAACCTGACTGGACCTATTGAAATGCACCAAAACTTAGCTTATCTGCGCGAGATGTGTAGTCCGGATTTCTTTTGTTTTCAACGCAGATGACTGTAATGTAATCCGCCCCACCACCATTAGAAGGAAGCGAGAGATAGACTGAAGATAGAAATCTCAACTTTGTGAGGTCAGGTACCGAATACACACCTGAAGTGGTCGTTTTGAAAGTCAAATTTCTCACCCCTCAGAAAAATGATTATGAGGCACAGCTGTATGTTACTACACAGTGATATCATTGCATTATTAACGAACTGACTGTTTCAGCGCTGCTACACTATGACCTCGCTAATAGTTTATAGGACTTATCTAATTAACAGTCATCATAATTATCTTACCAGCTTCAACACATTTTAGAGGGAAAATATGTCGGTCTTTCTCAGTTTCTTTTACCAGATCTAATAAGGAGCGGGAAACGTACGATCTAAATAGGAAACAGACTTCTGTTTGCACGCTTACTCCGTAGAATTTGCAGACTTAACTGAATGTCATTTGATTCTCTTTTTCACTGTAGTCTTCACCTAAAAGTGTTAATCAAGACCGATTCATCTTTCAGTTGGACTGACATTCAAGGGATCGACGTATCTTCCTTGATATGACAGTACTTAAAAGCTCGACTAAGTTATCATGTGGACGTGACCCCCGAGCTTTCGGTCGGTCCTTTTTTTACTTAAATACCAAACCGTACGTAGGTGGAATTATAAACTCATTTGCAAAACAATTTGATGTTTTCGGGACTGTAGAAATTCTGAGACTGGCAGTTTTCAACTCTATGGGTGATGTTTCGCCATCTCATCGTTTCAACCGACACATGAGGTGGCATCTTCCCTTGATGGTTATCGTAAACGAGGGTTTGAGTCGAATTTACGTTACAGAAACTAAACTACAAGCTACATATTTACCACAAAATGGACACAATTGAATTTTGAAGTACAAGGTAAGACTGATGAAAATTCGGGAACCAGGCCTACCTGAGCTCCAAGAAGGGTGGAAATGTTGGTGTACAGCGGGAAGTTCTCAATAACCTTGTGTGCACTGCGTGGTTTCGAATACTACCTGTCATTTCAGTACTAATTAAAAGTTCGATGAAACTCAAGACGGCCCACGACCGGTTTCTTAATTTAACGGGTCACATTGAATACATCTAGCTCTGAAATATCCGTTGAGGTCATTTCTAACTTGCTCAACATATTTTGAGTATTTTGCAATAAACACTCATTTTCAAATCAAGTTGATGTTGACGGGGCACTTAGTTCTAATGTATCTGAACAACCCGCATACAGTATTCCATTGTTTCGTCAGATTCCGAAGCTGGAACAAAC